TTGTGTGTGTGTGTGTGTGTGTGTGTGTGTTGTGTGTGTGTGTGTGTGTGTGTGTGTGTGTGTGTGTGTGTGTGTGTGTTGTGTGTGTGTGCGTACGTGTAATTAAAGAAATACATATGTATGCATATATATATATATATATATATATAATATAATATATATAATATATATACACATGTATACATACATATATCATGTATGTATTAGACAAACATATGTATGTATGCTACATAATATTCACATAAAAACATATCTAATATTCAGGAACAGATAAAGCGTTGGCTCATCTACCAGCGTCCACCTTGCATGACTGAGTTAGTAAACAGGTATAGTGTGTTCCCCCTCTCCCCCCTACCCTCCCCCCCCCCCCCACCCCTCCCTCCCTCCTCCGCCCCTTGAGCCACTTGCGGAATTAGCTCCTCCCCCTTTTTACCTTTCCCTCATCCTTCGAGAGCCCGGTTCGCCCCCTCGCTTATTCCTCGAAATAAAGATGATCGCATGACTTCATCTCTCGGCAGAGTCGCCTGTTATAACGGACTGAAATGAATGCCACGACAGGTCACGCCCACATCTGCTCGATGATCCGCCCCTCCCGCCCACCCCCATCCCATCCTGACCCCCCTCTCTAGCTCCCCACCCCCACCCCACCGGCGACAAAAATATCAGTCTCGCCTCTACCACTCATTATGGACTCCCGACGCCCGTTTGAGCCAATGTGTAACGCCCAAGACGATGGCGATGAAACTCCTGCCCCCCCCCCCCCTCCCCTCCCTCCTCCTCCTTCTCCCCTCACTCCTTCCCCTTCCCTCCCTCCTCCTTCTCCCCTCACTCCTGCCCCCCTTCCCCTCCCTCCTCCTCCTCCTCCCCTCACTCCTCCCCCTCCCATTCCCTCGACTCCTCCCCTTCCTACACGCCCACATTCTCGCTCCTCCTTCCCCTCCTTCACCCCCCCCCCCGCACCTTTACACTGGTTTCTCATAACGTTATTGTGGATTACATCTCAGACCAGGGCGTATATAGACGAGGGGGACGTGGAGGGCGCAATTCATTTCCATTCGGAGAGGGAGGCCGCTTGGAGGAATTCGTCAGTCAGTGCTTGTTCTGCGTTCGACAGTCACACACACACACACAAACCAGCGTACGTGTTCCCTCTGTCCGTTGTCTGTGTTCTCTGCGTGTGAGGAAAGTACAGTGTCACTCTCGCGTATGGTGTGCGTCCCGGGATGCGGTGATCTGGAGGCTCCGCTTCTCATGAGTTGTTGGTGAACCTTGTGATTCTCATCAACTGTAATTCAGATTGTGGATGTGACTTGTACTTTCTTCAGTCCTTGCTTAATTATCTCTACAATTTCAAATGATTCTGTGGCAATCCGTGATCAGTCAAGTGTTATAAACTGGCGGTTGTTTGTTCAAAAAAAGTTGTTTTTGCTGACTTGAAGACTATTTGAACTATCCTTTGTCAAGATAAAATAACATAAAAGGTTACACTCTTTAATTAGCTTTAATGATGAGACACCAAGTACAGGGGATAAAATGGGTTAACAAAGAGACGAGATACTCAAGAATATTTACGTTCCATCGAAATAAAAACACAACTCTCTTATTTCTTTCAGATCATGGATGATGAACAAATTGCCAGTGAGTATCCCACAAAATATATATCTTTTAAGATAAGATGCATTTAGAAATTGAATACTGTAGTAAATATTGATGAGCTAGCGGTAAGGAGCCCCATGGTCACAAACAGACAGACATTTTGAAGCTTTATTCCATAATGCATATATATATATATATATATATATATATATATATATATATATATATATATGAATGTATGTATAGCCTACATTTCACGCACACACACACACATATATATGTACGTATGTATGTATTTCCTTGCCGTTATACATAGAGTACAGTTATATATATATTCATACATGCATATATATATATATATATATATATATATATATATATATATATATATATATATATATATATATATATAATATTACATTATATATATACATATATATATATATAAATATACATTATATATATATAATAATATACATTATATATATATTATATACATTATATATATATATATATATATATATATATATATATATATATTTACTGCACATACACACACATACACACACACACACACACACACACACACACACACACACACACACACACACACACATATATATATATATATATATATATATCATGGGGACCGTGCAGTCCAAAGCCATGGGCCTCCTCGGCCACACAGCTCAAATATTCATTCAATTCTTCAGGTAAAGTGTTTCTTCTAGTTTGTCCTTAAGGTTTAGCAATACACCCTATGTTGTTCCAGTGTATAGTTAGTATTATGTCATGTGACCAAATTTTGTAGTATTGAGAAGGATGTGACGTTATTCTGCATATTCCTTTGACAAAGACCAAAGACTCGTGTGATTTAGAAATATTGTAGTCAATTAGCTGTTAAATTATTCATTTATGCATTATGTACTATCGGTGTTGAAAGTGAAATTCAGTGAAGCATGTGTTTTAGCTTTGTCTAGGTCACGCCATAGAAAAGCATACAGTAGAGTAGTTTTTTTTTTTTTAGTTAATCATTTGTTCGTGAAGACTATACATAGAACACCCCCTGTCCAAATATTAGTACGGACTGACTTTCATGTAAACCCCTAATGCTCTGGCCCGTCTCAAACAAAGAAATATATCAATAATTACCCAGAAAAAAAAATGACGCAACAGTAACAAACATCTCGACAAAAGTCCTACAGTCGGACGGCCACAGCATCAGAGGCTCCCGTTATGTAGTTCGATAGTGTAGCTAAAGAGGTCGCCACTGCCTGTTTCAGCGTGTGTTGTCCTGCATCCGCCTGACTCTGTTGTACGCATCCCAACACCTCCAAAACCCACAGGCGTCAGCGGTGCCCAAAACTCGCGCCCTCGCTCCTTGCAGACGCCCCTGCAGGAGGCTCCGGCTTCAACGAGCGGAGGAATGAGAGAACTCGCAGGAATTTCAACTTCAGTAATCTCTGGCAACAGTCTGCTATCTTGAGCACAAGGCAGTTCGCATGAAACTAAATTGCGAGCAGATTGCGTACGAAACATGGTCGTATTTATGCGTGTATGTGTGTATAATTTTATACGTACATAAATAAAAACATCATATATCCAAATACACGCAAATATATATTTCTATATAAAGGCATATATATATAAATATATATATATATACATATACATATATATATACATGCTGAAATATCCTGAGAGGCTGATTTATACGGACTGCCGAACCAATAATACCCAACTGGCAACAACAACCGAGGCATCTGAAGAGCCACGAGATCCCACGGCACTGGCACGCCGAAAGACGAGACAAGGCAAAAGGAACACAATCAGTTCTCTGAAAGTTGCATTTTCTAAAAAGGTCAACCGCGCAAGAGATCCATTATCAGAAATGCATACAAAGGTTTCAATATAAAGCCGAAAATACTGTAAGAAGAAGAATCGAAAGACAGGGATTGGCATCTTAAGACTCTCCCCGCGTGGTTAAAGGTATGTAAGTGATCTGTTTTTGCCTGCGTGTTTTTTTTTGGGTTGGAGGCTTACATCCTTTGTTTATTATTCTTTTCCCTTTATTTGCTGATTAATTCGCTAAAACTTTCCAGGTAAGTTTGATACTTTATTTCCGTTCTGGTTTTCTTTTGCATTATTATTGTTTCGGTTACCTTCCTAAAAAAAACATTTTCTCATTATGTTATTTCAGAAATTATTTATTATGCTTCCATATTCTTTTCAGCTTGCCCTATTATTCTCCTTATTATGATTTTGTACATGAGATTACATTTCATTTGTTGCATGGAGCTGATATTCAACATAACCAACATAGACCAAGCTGTTCCTCATCTTACCACGGACTCCATACCCTACGCATCATAATCCGATGTTACAGCATAAATACGCGTACTGACACACACGTAAATAACACGATATGCCATGACGTTAACATACCACGCACCCTAGCACCACCGCACATCAAACGGCGTCTCGGCGCGAGGGTCACCCGCCAGGCTAAAATTAGGCACCATGTATCACTCTCCGTCATTCCTAACCTGACACGAATTCCTCGTTTTCAATTTAAGATTTTCTCCTCTTCTGCGTTCTCCTTTTCACCCACCTTTGTTTTTCTGATTCTCCCTTTATCCTTTTTTTTTCTTTTCCCTTAAAGACCCTCCCCTACCCCAACCCTTACCCACTTACGACCCCGAGGCACCGTCCCAAAAGCCGACTGACCCTTGGTATTAATAACAGGAGCTGGGAGAGTGCCATTACACCGCCCTCCCGTCCCTTCCCGCTCCCTCCCTTCCCCATTCCACCTGCTAGAGAGCTATTTTGCATTCTGGAGAATCGCCAGAAGGACCTTTCTACTCCTGCCGCCCCTGCCCTTGTCCGGTTCCCCTGCCCTTGTCCGGTTCCCTTGCCCTTGTCCGATTCCCTTGCCCTTGTCCCTGCAACCTCCCTCTTCACCGTCCCTCAGCTTCCGGTGAATGCAAGGTGATCCGTATAAAAGAGAAAACGCACGCGCTCCTTTTAAGCATTATTGGCGACGGATAGTAAAAGTGGTTGGCTAGCGATAATCCAAACAGCCAATAGCTGTTTCTTTGGTATATATGTGAACTCGTGTAACAACTTCAGCACTGCGTCCATAAACACGCACGCACCTTTTTTTTTACGAATTATAAATACCGTATTCGCAAATGAACGCATTATGATTATTTTCTATAACGTAATGGGCTAAACGATATTCACTTCAATACATCAAAATATAGGAAACACATCAAGCCTGTGTATACGCTCACGCAATATGCAAATGAGAGTGCAATAGAGGCGATTCTCCCATTTCCCGGTTGCAATTGTCGCCATTTCTAACAAAGCAAAGACAATCTCGTATTTGTGGTTATCCAATATCAACTCTACAAGTATAGAAATATCCCAAATTATTTTATTTTCTGAATCAGAATAACTAATCCAGAATCAAAATAAGGTTAGACTACGTAGAGAAATATATGTAGGCTATGTATATGTAAACAATAAAAATTCCTCAAGGACTTACCTCCATTTTGACTTGCGAATTCTGAAGATGTGTATTTATAAAGTGTTTAGTGTGCTCATAACTGCATAGCCTAATGAACCTACGATAACAGTTCGTAAAATTAACAAAATTTACACATACCGTAAGCCGATGTAAGAGCCAGAAGTCTGCAGAAGTCGCTCATTTCCATTTCAATTCGCCAATTTCTTCTTTATCTTCATTTTCCTATATATATTTTGCTCACATCACGGTCACATTTTCTTGTAACAAAGCACTTATATTTTTCTTCCGATTCACTGTAAATTTTCACTTCCATTCGATCGTAAGAGGACTGACAATTTAAAGAATCTTATTTTTTTGCATTATTGATTTTGAAAAGAACGAAGAGACTATTCTGATTTGTATTATGAATTTGCTTTATGAATTCGAAAAGCAACGCGTGAATAACAACTGTATTGAAAACATTTTTCTTTTAACTCGAATCCTTGCAAAACGGTTGATTCACTTGCAGGATTATGAATATTGACGATACAAAGAAACACGCACAATCTTCCTAATAACACAATTTAAGAATGCTTTTCACACTTTCTCATACACTTTTACCTAATAGGCCTATGCACTTCACTTAACAGATTTTCTGATACATTAACACAAAACACTTGTATATGACAACCAATTCAAACGAATTAACTTTCTGACACGAAAGAATAATAAAGGAAATTAATCAGCCAGGAAAAAAAATCAACACTTTCTTACACGAAACTCACATCAAAACTGAAGCCAAAATTCTGGTTACGTTTTCTTTATAGACAATAAATTATCAAATTATAGTGTAATATCGCTACTGGATCCATTTTAGTTGACATTCTGAATGTTAGATATGTATGCTACTTCTTTTGTTATAAAATGCATATCATATTGAATATATCATCTAATATTTTTAAATGTAAACAAAACATTCGAAAGATGCACACCCGAAAAACAAACAAACAAACCGCTTACTCCTCTAAACAATAAAACACGTGTACCGGACACTTCCTCAAATGAAGACAAATAAAATACCTAACGCCCTTTTCTTCCTTCGCCACAGCCATGAGGAAAGTATTCCAGATGTTCGACCAGGGGAAAACGGGCTTTGTGGAATGCGCCAAATTTGTCAACATCCTGAACACTCTCGGCCAGACCTTCGACGAGGACGAGCTCAAGGCCAGAATCGCCGAGAATGACCCTGACAGTGAGTGTCTTTTCTTAGTGTTTTGCGGTTGAGTGGAAGCTGGTTGACTGTAAGATATGGATAATACAGAGGATATGATAGGATATGAGTGATAGCAAGTGATAGATATATAGTATTAGTTATCGATATATAGGCCTACGTACATTTTTTTTCTTTTTCTCAGCTTTAAAAAAGTTGCCTGTATTCTTCTTTTTGTATAATTTACTGGATAATTATTTTTGCACTGCTCCATATTAGAATTTGAAATGCTATATCCTTTAGTGTTGAGGAATGTATATGTCCAAGGGCACAAACTCGCTCTCAAACTTTTTTGGCTGCGACCTCCACAAATTACTTCGATAGATTCGCGACCCACTTCCTCAGCAGCAAAGTAGTAACTGAGTGTGGAGTACTTCATAAAGCAAACAAAGCTTGCATACATAATGTGGCTGTATGATGCATTATCGAGCATCGGGCAGGTTGACCACCGCTAACAAGTACTAGACACGTAGGGATGGGTAGTTACAAGGAGGCTTTAAATAGGTAGTTAAAGGAAGAGAAGGAGGAAGGAGGAGGGGCTGCAGAATCTCGCAAGCTCTCTGGGGGTCAGAATTTCCATTATGAGAACCTCTTGTCTTAGGAAACATCTGAACGAATATTGTGGAAAGGTTGTCAATGTCGAACCAATCCTTCCTAGGCAGTAGTTAGGTACTTTAGGGAAATTATCTATAACCACATGAACTGAAATGATACGAGTAACATTAATGACACGTCTTTCTGTCGTTTCCTTTCGCCAGAGGAAGGCAAAGTGGACTTCGACAGGTTCTGCTCCATCGTCATGCCCTTCCTGGAGGAGGACGACGACGAGGCCATGCACGAGGAACTGAAGGAGGCGTTCAGACTGTACGACAAGGGCGGTGAGTATCCTTAAGGCATTCGGGAAGAGGCGAGGGCAGCAGCGACCCGCCCTTCCTGGTTAAGGATACTCACACTTTTCTATACGAAAACAACATGCGCTGACACTGGTTATTGACGAGGAATTGATAACGAGTTCTGTGCGATCGAAGTTGAGATTAGAAACTTTACGACATTCATTTTAGGAGATAAAGAGTCGGGTATACATACATTACATTCATATTTAAGTTTGAAATATACTCCATGCGGCGCATATATATGGCAGTATTTTATACTTACGGAGAGAAAGTGTCAGTGCAGTGTAGACATTTTCCACTAAATCCTATAAATCCTTAATCATTTTTCTCTTTAATTATATTTTTGAATTATCCATTTTCTGTAGATATACCCATAAAACCTTTTTGGTCTTAGCACTTATCACAATTTTCCGAAAGAAAAAAGTTTTGGAGATTCCAACGTGAACAAACCTCCTTTATTCTATATTAACGATTTTATCTACTTTCTAGTTCATTTAGTAATTGATTATTATTAATTACCAATTTTTTGAGTATTAACTTTTATCCCGAACTGATCCTGAAATTCCAACGTTCCAGTTTGTATTCCAACTTAACATTCCGGTAAAATAACGAGTCTATTTCTCATAGAATATCTCTATATGGCTATTTTTGTTTAGATATAAATAACAATTGATATATTCTGTCTGCTATCTATCTCTCGATTTATATATCTGTCTATTTTCTTTCTATATAAGTATACTATATAACAGTCAGTCTATCGTTGCTTCATTTTTCTGTCGGTTTCTTTATCTTCCTGTATTATTTCATATTCTTTTCCTAGCTTCAATGAAACTTCTTACAATTTTCTCGTATTTCTGTTTATATATCCATGAAGTCTATTCTTCATGCTGTTTATCTATCCATCTTTATCTATCTATCTATTTTTCTAACACGCTCTCTCTCGCGCTCTCTCTCTCTCTCTCTCGCTCTCTCTCTCGCTCTCTCTCTCTCGCTCTCTCGCTCTCTCGCTCTCTCTCTCTCGCTCTCTCTCTCTCGCTCTCTCTCTCTCTCTCTCTCTCGCTCTCTCTCTCGCTCTCTCTCGCTCTCTCTCTCTCTCTCTCTC